CTGCCGCTGTCGAACACCAGCAACAACAACAACAACAACAGCAGCAGCAACAACAACAACATCAGGAACAAAAGCGGGTAGCTGCCGCGCTAGCGAATGCTGCAGGGACTTCAGCACCGTGTAGTCAACTCGATCATGTGACTTTGGTGAGTCCTGCCATTTTCGTTTTGAGTGGATTTGGGAGCACTTATCCCATTCTCTGCTGCCTTTGATAGTCACTTAAGGTTATGTTGCATACTGGAAGGGCGCAGGTGATTGCCTTATGGACCGTTTTAATGTTCAGCCTTATCTATTGTTTACCCTAGTTACCGCACGTATTTTTTAAGGTTTACTATAGAATAGTGTACATTGCTGCTACTGTTAGCTTTCAATCCTTTCCTTTTTTACACAGCAGCTGTGAATGTCATAGTTAAGGATAGTCTATCAGTGTTTCCACCGCTCAGCCAAACCACATCAGAGGTCAATTTTATAGTCTGCTTATGCATTTAACAAATTTAATGATATGGGGTGCTCACGATCGCATTACAGAACATATTCTTTCCGTTGTGTGAGGAAGTTCAATTTGGGGTCCCTCCAGCGGCCAAATAGCGGCTTGTGATGGAGGCAAAATAACATCGTTTGTGTATGGCTGGCTGACGACAGCTACTAAACAAAAATGGTCATTCTATTTTCCCTTCTATGTAGTGTTATATTGTCAACACTCTCGTTAGAAGTACTCCGCTGTTGTTTCTCCGACTTTGAAGTATGTTTTTTGTCCTTTTAGCTCTCAGATCATGGCCTTCGCCTAGATCAGACGTCGCCTACGTCCCAGTCGACAGCCTCCTCATCTCTACCTTCTCCTACAACAACCTTCTCTTTGAAAGAGCCTCCTCCCAAAAAAGTTGCCAACCACAGTCACTCCAGTTTAAAACGACGTTTTAAGCAGCATCTTAAACGTCCGGCCGCTCACGAAATGGGTGTCACTGAAACCGATCTCGTGTACGGTGATACTGACGTTATGAATTCGATGTCTGTTTTCGCCCAACGTCTCATGGCTTCCTCAAATCGTCACAGCCGGAAGACTTTTCACGACCAACGTAGTGTCCGACTTTATATGGGCCGAAATATTTCGGTGAACGAGACGGAGGAGGATGAGGACGACGAAGAGGAAGAAGAAGACTTCGAAGACATGGTGGACTTTGATGATGATGAGGTTGTTGGTGAAGAGACGCAACTGAGCTCCCGCTTTGGCAGACCGAGTAGTCTTTCTGCGACCGATGCTGTGTCTCTCACCAGAGAGGATCTTTACGAGCAGTACGCAAGTTCTCGTACTGGCAGACACCTTAGTAATGAACAAGAGGGAAACGTTGTTGCCCGTGACTCCCGAGATCCGGCGGTTTACCTTTTTCAATCCAAAAGATCTCGTCCTTCCGTAGTTGAATCTACAACCCCGTCACATAATTATAACTGCGACGGTCAAACATTTGATTCTCCCCCACTCCTCACCAGACAGGCCTTAAAATCTAACTCCTCTGCCTTTGAGAGACGCAAATCGAAGGACTTGACTGACCAACAAAATTATACTAACAGGCGTCGCCCTCGTTCTTTAGACCGTTGTTTTGGCTGCCGCCCTCCTCCTGGCTTTGGCTCGCGACGGAGATGTTTTTCATTTTCTGCCTTCGACTCTTTCCGTAAATCGAAACTTCCGGGAAAGTCTAACCACCGGCATGAGTCCTTGGAACGCCAGGAAGGTGACTTAACTAAAGTGGACTACTCCGAACTCTCTCCACTTACGCAAACCCCTGGGCCTTGCTGTCAACCCTGTGGTTTTCCTACTGTCTCACATTCGGATATCCAACAAACACCTACTTCCGCCCTTGCTGAAGCGCACAAAGCAGGTCTCCGATCGTGTAATGGCCGTATAAATATACCCCATATTCCCACAGGGGAGCACAAACGCTTTGGTTTGAAACGCCCCTCCACAACATCGTCGACCGCTGGACGGCATAAGAGAAAGCGTTTAAGTCGACTGGATTTGGATGATACCTACGACTTTTGTGCTGGTCCAGAATTCTTCGTGAACCTCCCCACATACAGTGCTCCAACTCCGTCTGCTGTCTCCTCTTCCTGCTCGAAGGAATTTTGTGGTGAACGTTTTGCCGCAGCTGCAGCTGCCGCGGCCTCCGCCACGTCGGCCTTTGATGCATTCATGGTGAAAGGCATGTCCACTCGCGGAGCTGGTGGGGACGACGAAGATGATGACGACGAGGAGGACGAGGCGAGTTTGATAAGAATGTCACGTACCTCGTCGCAGACTCCTCCATCATCTCCCTCCTCCAGTTACCTAAAGAAACGTCTCTTCTCCGTGAAGAGGGAGAACGCCAATCTTCGGTGTCAGTTGCAGAGCCTGTTAGAGCAGCGCAACAGCCTACGTAAAGCCAATTCTTTTTTGCTCAAGCAGAATGCTCGCCTACGGAACTGTAATAAGCGCGCAGTTGCGGCCGTTCGAGCGGCCGAACAGGCAGTCGGCGCGAGCAGGGGTGGAGGACACAGGACCAATCGTACTGTTGTCCCTCCTAAAAGGCCTTCCTCCCGAGAGCCCCACCCCGACCGGTGACCAGTCTGTTCATCCAACCTCCACCAATTTCCTCTGGGTAATTTTTTCTTGCTCATGTCTTGTCATCTTTTATGGTCTTCAGTGTTTTTAAAAACGCCCACAGGGATTGTCTGGTTGATGTTGATCCGCCAACCTCAGATCGGTTAGCAGAATTTGCTAGTGATGCCATTCTTACTCCGATCAAATAACTGTTTGGACTTTTTTATACTCGAACATTGCGATATGCCGATCAGAACGCAAGAGTCTTTTGTCTATGCGCGACTAAGCACGGCTTTACCGGAAACGCGTAAGCGCCACTGTCGAACAACGTTGCTGCATAGC